TGTCCAGGGGAATCCTCCAGATTTGGATGAAGTGAAGAAATGGGGTGCATTCTTTCACGACAACGACGGCATGTACTGGAAAGATGCGAGCGCAAAAGCCTTGAACATGCTGACGCCAAAATCGACAGCAGAGAAATCACAGTCGCCTGAAGAACCAACATCCAAAGCAGAGAAGTCAGAGTCGCCTGCAGAACCAGAAGCGGAAGGAGAGAAGTCAAAGTCGCCTGAATCGACACCCCCGAAGATGTTAGATTGTGATGTTCCTGCCATTCCAAAGGATGGAGATCCATTTGGGAAGGCTTGCAAGGAAGGGTCAAGGTCAGGTTTTGGAAGAGTTTTGACAAGAATCCGCCATGGCGAGCGCTGCAGCCCTGTTTGCAGCCTTGGCCATAAACCTCAGCCAGACACCTTGGTGTGCGAGAATGGTGTCATTGGCTCCTTTGAATGCCCTGAATACATCGATCCTCTCCAAAAGATGTGCAAGGACAAATGTGAAGCGGAGGGCAAAGGCTATCAGTACAAAGTGAGTGGTGGAAAGCCATCCTGCGTCTGTATTGACAAGAGCGCTGTTCTCAACCACCTGCCATTCTGATATGAACTGCCACTTGTCTCGCTCAAACAAAGCTGGCTTCGGAAAAAAGCTGCTCTTAAGCATTGACTGCTTGGCTTGAAGCGGGCTTTGGTTCATGATTCTACAATTACTCCAAGGGTGAGGCCATGACCAAGCCGCTTGAGGCTTGTGCAAGTCCAGCCATCGAAATTGAAAGCCGTTCGTTCCCATCCTAATCCGGAGCAGTTCATCACCGCTTTGTTGCTGCCATTCAAGTCCATACTCGACCGTTTTCTTTCATGCTTGGGTGAGGATCTGCGGATTTCTCGACCCACAGTTGTGGCGGTGTCAGTGGCTTGGCTGAGAGGTGCTTCAGGCACAACGCTGGGATCATTTGAGCTGTATTCAGAGTTGGAGTTTTTTGACATTTGGTTGTCCATTCACGGCACGCGCCAGCTTTCAACTACTCTGTATCGAAACATAGCTCAGGCAACCTCAGCCAATGCCTGGGCTTGGCACTTAGAATCGCCATCACACACTGCTTCACCTCGGTGAGACACTATTTCACCTCGGGAGACACGGTGAATTTCACCACAGTGTTTGTTCTCAACACTTTGTGACTGGGACATGTCCAAAACAGCACTTGGAACCAGACCGCTGCGGCATGATCCATGTAGAAGATTCGAAGAGCAGTCCCTGATAATCTGAGGTGAAGAAGCTTGCGGCTTATCAGCCACCGTGGGAGAAGGAGCTCACCGATTTCGTCCTTGTGGTTTCTTGGTTTTCAACGGCTGAAAGCCACGGATCAGATTTTACAGTACAAACTAACCATGGGGCTCCGGGCTTTAAGAAACCAAACCATTTCAGCACCGTTGAGTTGCTCAGGCTTTAACATTTTGCTTAGTTAGGTGTTTACAGAACTTTGGTGCTCGTAGATGTTCCGGTGGCTCAGAGATTCTGAGATGGCCGGTGCCAGCGGGTGGGTTTGGGGTTTGGGCCAAAGTTGGGCAAAAGTACATTCAGGACATACTGTTGATGGACAAAACCGTGCACCACTTTGCGCACAGTTTTCTTGCTGCCCTCGTTCTCCCTCGTTAACATTGGGGCCACCACAGTGAGAAAATTAAAGTAAGTTGAAGGTCCAAAATCCTGCACCACCTTTTGAGAGGGGTCGCGCCAACATTGAATGAGGGGGCGCGGGGGTTGCTATGCGATCCTTCCAGGGTAAAGTGGTGAGGTGGTGCAGGATTTTGTCCATCAACAGTATGTATAAATTAGGATATATATATATATAATATATATATTTTTTTTTTCTGCGTGTCTTTTCCGTCTGCAGCTTCGGTTAGGCAGCTTTTGGCCTGAAGCACAAAGGCAGTTGGGTTGAGTGGCCTTTGGCACATGGCTTCACCAACTGTTTGCTCGCCTGCATGGAACCATCTTTTTGGGCAACATGGGCTTTGCACCGCTGGCAAAATATCTTGCCGCCCTTTCTCCACATTTGATGTGTGGCGTGCCCCGCCCAATCAGCAGGGATTGGCCATTCACTGTCCCAACATGGCGCAATGGCTAGTTCATGCAGCTTGTCCTTGGCAGAGTTTCGAAGCAGCCTTTGGTTGCATCGACCACAAACGATGTAGTGCTTTTGCAGGCTGAAAGAATGCTCTGACATGCCTGCACACGTCCCATTCATCATCTGCTCGATGAGGGCAGCTTTGTCAAGGCTTCCGGAACTACCGCCAATCACTCCAGGATCAGCAGCTTTTGGGCAGGTCTCTGTGGCTGCTTCTTGCAGGTCAAGCAGTTTGTTGTGCATGGTCACTACAGCCTGGCAGTGTTTGCACTTCAAGCCTCTGCCCTTGGGTTCCCATACATGATTGTTGGGTTGGTTGGGAACTGAAAGCTTCCTGTAGGCTTCTTTTTTCCTCTCGCGTGCTTCTTCTCTCTTGAGCTTGCCAGATTCTCTGGCTGCATGCAGAAAATGCTGCTTGTCCTCAAGGAGATATCGAACACGCTGAATTGCCTGTGGGGCAATTCGCTTGTACTTCTCATCTTGCTGTACCAGTTCTTCTTCCTGACTGGTGGGTTGAAGCCCAAGAGCAATTTCTCGGGCTGTTTTGCAAGCATCTTCTTGTCTGTGCCTCAAAGACCACTCTGGTTTTGGCATGTCTTTGAGCTGCTTTGAGGTAATGCACAGCACTTTGATGCGGCTCTTTTGATCAAGCGTGATGAGTTCACGGAGATCGTGAAAAACTTCAGCATGTCGGTTGTGCTGCCAGGCTTCCCAAGCTCGTGTGCTTTGCACATGCAGGATGATGCGTTGGTGCAAATCCACATAGTGAGCCACCATGCGAATGCCATAGTACCATGCTCTTTCCCAGGATTGGACGCCCGGGAGGATGGCCACTACAGCCCCTTGACGAAACAATTGGCCGCCAATTTGGGTGTGGTGCACGATGGCCACTGCGTAATGTTTCACTCGGCAGTCAGCTGAAGTGGGCGAGATGCCTATGCTCACAACATCAGGCGAAAGGATGCGAGCTTCATCTTGTGTTGTCCACGTTCCCCAGGCTTGAACCGATGCACCTCCTGTGGCAATAGGTACAGCTGGCTTCATCAGAAGGCCTTGTGACCAGAACTCAAGATTCAGCCCATGTTCCAATTCGAACTTGTCCTCATTGGTGAGGGCAGGGAACTTCTTCTGAGTCTCTTTGCATAGCCAGAGCAAGTGCACTGCTGTAGCTGATTGGCCACAGTGCGGGCACTGGAGATGCTGCCCTTCTTGAGCATCACTCATCTTGGTGAAAAGGGCTCCCTGATGCCATGTTTGCAAAGCAGTGGCATTCTGTGTACTCAACGTGCGGTGCATGCGCTCCCATGGTTTCCAATCTAGCGGCCGTTGAACTTCCTGCAACATAGATCTGGAGTTGATGCGTTGCAGCCAGTCACTTTTCTCTGCTCGCTTGAGTTCTGCTTTGATGGTGAGCCAAGAATCACTCATGCTGATCTGAAATTCAGGTTCATCATTGGGCGCAGGCTTGGTCCATTGATGACAGTTGTCAGCCTGCCAACCATGGTCTTTGAGGTAGCATTGCAAGGCAGCTACAGGGCCTTTGGCTACTTGCCATGGATGAGCAGCCATGGCGAGTCTCTCTTGGTGGTGCGCCCATGCTCGTTCTAGATCTTTCCTCAAAGCCTCAGGCCACTGTCCAGCAAAATGCCGAAAGATTTTGACCTGATCATGAAATGCCGCTGCATCTGGATCTTGATGTTTCCCTTTCATATCGAAGACCACGTCAAGGTTCCGGTCCGCTGATGTCCGAGCTGACGGCCCATTGCTGCCTTGATCCTTGCACGATGTTGCGGAGCTAGTCCCATGGCCTCGTGACCCCAGCTGATGGACGATAGGATGCTGCCCTTGTACAAACGCAGGCGGATTGCCCGTTGTGGGATCTTGAGCAGCTGCAGCTTCTTGGTTTTCCGGTTGGCTTTCTGTCGACGAGCCTGCATGGTTCGGATCCTTCGGAGTCGTCCTCCTGTGCAGTCAACACCCAAATCACGCATTACATCGTGAACCTTCGGGCCATGCTGTGGAAGCTGTTCTGCAAGGAGCTTTTTGGCAGTGCTATTGGAAACAATGAATCCAGTCTTCTTCTCAGAGATGAGCAGGTTGTCTTCTTCAAGCAACTTGCGGATGTAGTTGAAAGCGGCAATGGCTATGCGGACAGCATTGGCCGGATCCCTGTCAACAACATCGAAACTCAGATCATCGATCCAGAGGTCGACATGAAGCTGTGGATATCGTTTGCTGAAAGCGTGCAAGGCTCTTTGCAAATAAACTTTTGCAGCTAAAGGTGCTTGAGGATCTCCGGCAAGAATTCCGTTGGCAGTCCATATGGGTTTGGATGCCTCTCCTTCAGCTTCAAGAATTCTGGAGCCACAATAGATTTGCATAGCCAATGCAGCATGGGTAGCAGGGTAGTCCGAGTCCAGCCATCGTTCAGTCAATTTCTCGAGGTCAATTCTATCATAGAAATTGGACATGTCCAGGAGAACTGAAATGACCGTGCGCTGCAGAGCTTTGTGATGTTCTGTCATGAAGGCTCTCTTCAAAGCTACCTTCAGGCATTCGGTGCCTGGCACTGCCCGCTCCCAGATATAAACATCCTTGATGCTGTGTTGCCACTGCAACGTGTATGGAGCTCTGACTTTGCACCACAACCTGTACAAAGATGCCACCAATGCAATTGGCCGTTCAATCTCTGATGTTTTTGGCAACAATGCTATCAAAGAAGTGGTCCATTGATTGGGCACTGTTGCTTGAGCTTCAACTTCATGAAAGAAAGCCACCAAGTCCGGCATGGCCTGAAACGGAAACTCTTTGAGGTAGTCATAGCCCACAGCATCAAGCCCAGGGGCTTTTTGGCTCAACCTCTTGATCACTTGCCATACTTGGTGCGCATGCAAAGGCTGCAACTCTTTGGCATGTTCCTGTCCTTTGTACACCAATGCTTGCAGAGTTCGCGGCTCACTGGGTTGCTCTTTTTGTTGCCAAATGCTGCTCCACTGTTGGATGCGTTTTTCCATCCTTTCTGCTCTGGGATATTGTTGGAAAGGTCTGGCATAGGGCAATTCATCCTTCTTGAGCGTTCTGTACAGGCCTCGACAACCTTTCTGACTTGCCGCATTCATCCAATTTCTGTACTCTTGCGTTTCTGTCTGGAAAACCGTGTCCTGATGCAACGACCATTGGGATTTGACAAATTTCAACAGGACTCTGATGTGTTCATTGTCATGTTCTCCCCACAACAGATTGTACAGCGTCATGAAGCCCTCAAGGGTGACCGAATCATCCGGGTGCCAATGTTGTGGGACGTGCCATCCCAACTTCTCCAGATGATGCAGATCCGCTTCAGCCTTGTTGTGTCTGTGCAGGTGTTGTTGCAATCGGAGTTCAATCTGAGACCAAAAGGCCAAAACTCCTTTCCGCCAGAGCCAGGGTTTGCTCGGATCAACCAAGGGCTTCTGCACATACTGGAGGTTTGTGCCCCGGCCAAGCGTAGGTTTGGCCAAATTTTGTAGGACATAGCGCTCTATCCTGCTGTACAACTGGCCAGCTTTCTGACTGAGGTTGTTGGTACTCAAATCTAACCAGGTCACTGCCACATCTGCAGGTTGCACTTGAGTCCATTCAGTTTTGATCTGTTGCAGTTTCGGTGCAGGCTGATATCTCTGTATCTGTTGTACCGTCATGCTCTGCAATTCTTTGGCCAAATGAATATGCAGCTGAGCA